TCACTACGTCGCTATAGGCAAGGTTCGACTGCCTGTACGTCTGTTTGTACCTCGGGTAATGAACTGCTCTAAATGTAAACAACTTGGTCACACATCGGACTACTGCTCGAACAAACCACGCTGCGATCAGTGTGGCGAGCAACATCAAGAGGGCTCTTGCGGTGCTCCTCCAAAATGCGTGTACTGCAAGGAGAGCCTGCATACCCTGACTGACTGCCCGAGGTATAAACAGCAGGGAGACAAAATTAAGCGGTCTCTGCAAGCTCGCTCCAAGAGAACAATAGCAGAACTCTTGAAGAATACCGCTTCATCTTCTCAGACCACACCAAAAAACAGTAACACGTTCTCCATTTTGCCAATTGATGATCTAGACTCTGACTCAGAGGGCGGTGAGGGTAGTCCGTTTGTCTTTAAAGGCAATACGAGAAAACGAGCAAAACAACATACCACCGAAAAGCCTCGTAAGGCCACTCGTACGGACCACCCTTCCACCTTGGAAAAATCAAGAGGTAACGGAAATGCACCGAAACCCATTCCACCGGGTTTTAAACCTTGTAATTATGACAAGAACTTTCCGTCACTTCCAGGATCATCTAAAACCCCAGATGTTCCAGTTTTTAGGCCAGAAAATCAGCTGAATAATCAGCAAGAACATGCTCCCATGTTCACGTTTTCTGGTATTGTGGATAGCTTCTTCAGTATATTCAATGTCTCTGACTCAACGAGGAGCATTATTAATTTAGTGCTGCCAATGGTGAAAACTCTTTTGAAGCAACTAGCTTCTAGGTGGTCCTTCCTTGCATCGATCATATCCTTCGATGGATAATTCTCCGAATGAGGTCGGGGATATGATCTCTGTTCTTCAGTGGAACTGTAGAAGTCTTATGCCAAAACTTGACACATTTAAATTTTTAGTTAACAACTCACTTTCTGATGCATTTGCCCTTTGTGAAACATGGCTCTCTTCAGACAACGATCTTGCTTTCCACGATTTCAACATTATTCGCCTTGACCGCGCAGATTCGTATGGAGGGGTGCTTCTGGGGATCAACAAGCTCCATTCTTTCTATCGAATCGATCTGCCTTCGGTGACAGGCATTGAAGTAGTTGCATGTCAGGTTAATATTCGAGGTAAATGCCTCAGTATTGCCTCAGTATATCTTCCACCGAAAACCGCGATCTCTCGTCAAAGTTTCGCGGATATCTGCACGGCTATGCCGGAGCCACGGTTGATCTTGGGAGATTTTAACTCTCACGGTACAGGCTGGGGGGAACTGTACGACGACAACCGCTCAACCTTGATATACGACATGTGCAACTTCTTCAAAATGACAATTCTGAACACCGGGGAAGCAACACGAGTAGCCAAACCTCCAGCAAAAATAAGCAGATTAGACCTCTCACTTTGTTCGAGTTCACTATCGTTGGATTGCTCGTGGAAAGTAATTCAAGATCCCTACGGTAGTGACCATTTGCCAATCAAAATTTCTATTACCAATGGTTCATCTTCTACTCGCTCGGTCGACATCGCGTACGATCTTACGAAAAACATTGACTGGCGAAAATTCGCGACCGCGGTTCTTGATGCCAGTCAATCGGTTGACGTACTTCCTCCGCTGGACGAGTACTCCTTTCTCGCGCGTGTCATCATCGATTGTGCGCTGCGAGCACAGACGAAACGTGTTCCGGGTGTTTCCGTCCGCAAGCGACCTCCCACCCCGTGGTGGGATAAGGATTGCACCGCCGCGAACAGCGAGAAGTCCGCCGCGTTTAAACGCTTCCGCAAACACGGTAAGGTCGGGGATTTCGAGCGGTACACCGACCTCGAAGAAACCTTTAAGGACTTAATTAAAGCAAAAAAACGCGGTTACTGGCGTCGGTTCGTCGATGGTTTGTCGCGAGAGACTTCCATGAGAACACTCTGGAATGTCGGCAGGAGAATGCGAAACGCGTCATCACCGATTAATGAAGACAAGGAGTACTCGGACAGATGGATTTTCAGCTTCGCGCGGAAAGTTTGCCCGGATTCGGTACCGGTCCAAACCAACGTTCGTGATCGTCTGTCGGGTAATAACGAAATAGATTCCCCGTTTTCGATGGTGGAATTCTCACTTGCTCTCCTTTCATGTAACAACTCAGCTCCAGGAATGGATAGAATCAAGTTCAACTTGCTCAAAAATCTCCCAGACGTCACGAAGAGACGCTTGTTGAACTTATTCAATCAATTTCTTGAGCACAACATTGTTCCGGATGACTGGAGGCAAGTAAGAGTTATCGCCATTCAAAAACCCGGTAAACCCGCGTCGGATTATAATTCGTACCGTCCCATCGCGATGCTGTCCTGTATACGGAAATTGTTGGAGAAAATGATTCTTTTTCGTCTAGACAAATGGGTCGAGTCGATTGGTTTACTTTCAGATACGCAATTTGGATTTCGGAGAGGCAAGGGAACGAGCGACTGTCTTGCGTTGCTTTCAACTGAAATTCAACTGGCCTATGCGCAAAAACAGCAAATGGGTTCAGTTTTCTTGGACATTAAGGGGGCTTTTGATTCTGTTTGTATCGATGTCCTTTCGGATAAACTCCACGATAGTGGGCTTTCACCAATTATGAACAACTATTTGAGCAACTTGTTGTCTGAGAAATATATGAGCTTCTCTCATGGAAACTCGACAACTTCACGAATTAGTTACATGGGTCTCCCCCAGGGCTCATGTTTAAGCCCCCTTCTTTATAATTTTTATGTAAAAGACATTGATGGTTGTCTTGATGAAAATTGCTCGCTAAGGCAGCTTGCAGATGACGGCGTTGTATCCGTTATAGGGCCAAGTGCACCGGACCTGCAAGGACCATTGCAAGATACCTTAGACAATTTTTCTACTTGGGCTATGAAGCTGGGTATCGAATTCTCTCCGGAGAAAACTGAGTTGGTTGTTTTTTCTAGGAAGCATCATCCTGCACAGTTACAGCTTCAACTAAAGGGTAGAACAATCACTCAAAGTATATCTTTCAAGTATTTAGGTGTCTGGTTCGATTCCAAAAGCACATGGGGAAAACATATTGCGTATGTGAAACAAAAATGCCAACAAAGAATCAATTTTCTTTGTACAATCACTGGAACTTGGTGGGGAGCACACCCGGAAGATCTGATCAGGTTGTACCGAACAACCATCTTGTCGGTTCTAGAGTACGGAAGCTTCTGCTTTCAATCCGCGGCGAAAACACATATCCTGAAGCTGCAACGGGTTCAATACCGTTGCCTCCGAATCGCGCTTGGCTGTATGCACTCGACGCATACGATGAGCCTCGAAGTACTCGCGGGTGTTCTCCCACTGACAGATCGTTTCGCGGAACTGTCCTTCCGGTTTCTTATCCGTTGTGAAGTAATGAACCGATTGGTAATAGAAAACTTTGAGAAGCTGCTCGACAGAAATCCTCAAACAAGATTCATGAGTCTCTATTACGATTACATGACGCTGGAGATTGGCTCTTCTTCATTCAATTCCTCTCGTGTTTGCCTCCAAGACTTTTATAGTTCCTCTGTAAATTTTGATCTGACCATGTTGCAAGAAATCCGTGGAATACCAGATCACCATCGGTCGATGGTTGTTCCCTTAATTTTTGCAAACAAGTACCACCATGTTAGTAACAATAAGAGTTTTTTCACAGATGGGTCAACTATAAACGCTTCCACTGGATTCGGAGTATTCAACGAATTTCATAGCGCCTCATATCAACTGCAAAAACCCTGTTCCGTATACGTTGCGGAACTAGCAGCCATATTTTACGCAGTAGAGCAAATTGCCTCACTACCATCTGATCACTATTTTATTTTTACTGATAGCCTTAGCTCGTTGGAGGCTATTCGATCAATGAGGCCGATGAAGCACTCCTCGTATTTCCTGACCGAAATCCGAGCTAAATTGAGTACTTTATCTAACTGCTCCTATACTATCACCTTAGTTTGGGTCCCATCTCATTGCTCAATTCCGGGCAATGAGAAAGCGGACTCGCTAGCTAAGGTGGGCGCTATGGAAGGCGATATTTTTGATCGACAAATCGCCTTTGCGGAATTTTTTTCAATTACCCGTCAGCACGTCCTCACCAACTGGCAACAAAAATGGAATGAGAGTGATCTGGGAAGATGGTTACATTCTATTCTCCCACAGGTGTCGAACAAGCCATGGTTCAAAGGATTGGACATGAGCCGTGACTTTATACGAGTCATGTCAAGGCTCATGTCTAATCACTACTCGTTAGACTCGCATTTCTTCCGAATCGGGCTCGCAGGCAGCAATTTGTGCGCTTGTGGTAGTGGTTATCACGATATCGACCACGTGCTTTGGTCACCCAAGTAACATTGCAGGTTTTATCGCGGTTTTGTAGCATTCTACAAGTCTAAATCATGGTCTACAGAACCCTCATAAAACCAGAATTGTTACTTGGGCATGCACCCTACATTGTGTTGCTAGATCCGAGTTATCCGCATCCCTCAGGGCCCGAGGAAAACAACCTATGCGGCCCGTTAGAGACATCTTGGCGAGCCGAGATCTCGAAAATTTTAATTTAATTTATGTGTTTTTAAAACGGATCGATCTGAGGATTTAGTAGTTAGTGTCATCTTGTGTTCTCTCAAGTTGCTAGGTCTCCATCGGTGTACCCCCATGTTTGTCTTTTTTTCCAGTATGTCGCTTAGTTCTAGATCAAGAGCACATTGCTCTAAAAAACCTTGTGTTCTCAATCCCTACCCTGCCACCCGTTTGTTACAATTTGTTACCCCTAACCTCGAGAAAGCCGCGAGTAATCGGCCCCCGCTTTACTAACGTTAGTTTTAAGTAATTTTGTACCCAAACGATGAATATCGGCTCCGCAAAGCTACGGCAAATGAGCCTGGAAAAATAAACGCATTTAAAAAAAAAAAAAAAAACGATGGTATCAGGCGTGAACAATGATGGTGAAAAAAAATTTCTTTCCGTAGTAAAAACAAAGTATACACAGGCTTGATTCAAGTGATTTATGTAAACGTTCTGATCAATCTAATTGCCTTAGCGATTTTATCCTCTTAAAACAACAGGTTCTCTCTTCTCTGAACAAACTACGTTTGATGTATCTCTTCACTAACAAACGACATTAGTACACACTCTTTGTGAGGAGGGGGGGGCGGGGGGGGTGGATACTCCATTAAATTTAGTTAGTTCCAATGTTCGATCTGTATGCTCCTCATCCCGTGGTGTGGAAGGGTTATGTTCCTCAACATCTACTATTAGTCTGCCTTGAAATTGTACAACGAGAGAATCGAATTTACTTCCCTTTTCTAGTAATCTTAAAATGGTACACATTGTAAAATGGCACTTACACTCTACGGTGAGATTTATGTTCGTTTTTTCAGCTTCCTCCATCCTCGGTCGGTCAATACATTACCCGCTAGGGTTCGAACATGGCAGAGATAATGACATCCTTGTGTGAACCGGCTGGGATTCTGCTCTTTTTCTTATAACATTTACAGTTTTGTGTCGTGGGAAGTTATGTGGGGGAGAAAACATGAAAAGATTGAATCTTCGATTTTATGTACTTTGATACTTTGAATTCACGTGAATTCAAAACGTGACATTTTTGCTTGAACTCTTCACAGTCATTTCGATTTCCTAAACTTAGTTTTGCCTAGCGTCTACATGTATAGATAAATATTCTCTCCAACGCAAACTAAATTAAATCTGCATATGCTCTGTTGTACAAAAAGTAGTTGAGAGTAGTTTTGATTATTGTACCAGATTCTGGAAGAAGTTTAAACGGAACGGTAATTGTGCGAACAATAAACGTTAAATAAGATACTTGTTCACAAAACAGGTGATTTCCTACCAGCTAAGAAAAATAACTTAAACTCAAACTAAACTCCTAAATTCACTAAGTATTCACTCTGCTTGGCTACCGGACTTGGTGCTAGAATCCAACTAATACAGCTCGTTTGATCGATTTCGGCACGTCTGGCAGCAAGCCTGGCTGTAGTACGCATAGCTGCACAGTTTCGCTTTGAGAACTATGCTACAGTTCGGGAAGTCGTCCCGACAAGTGCCGTCGTTCTGTATCATGTCAACTCGAGGTTCAACATAGGACTCCATAGAGGCCGCCATAGTTGTGCTGGAGGTCGTCGTCGAAGGGCAGGGCTCTTCGTTACAAACTCGGTATGCCATAGGACGGTCTGCATAGCGACAACTGGCTGACTCCTGCATGACCTTATCACGTAGGTTGAACTCGAGACACTTGACCACTCTGCGCTGATTTCCACTGTCGCATGTTTTGGTGCACTGTGAAGCAAAAGAAAACATGGTAAGCTCCAAATCACCGTTCTTCATTGTCAAATTGAATTTAAAAAGTTACCTCGCTCCACTCCGAGTAATGCCATCTTGGTTTGCAATCATCAATCGCTTCAGTGTCGCAGGTTTCCATCGACACGGGTCGCTCGTTATCGTTACATTCAGAATCGGTGGCAAAGTTGTCATTTCGGATGCACAGTACTGTTCTTGATCTGGTCAGGTTGAAACAGTCACCGGAACACTGTTGAAAATAAGCACAAATTAGCTATTCATTTTGAATCAACAATATCAAACGGAACTTACCAATCCCCAAGGTCCGGCGAACCATTCGCCGTATTCGCAAGCTCGATTACTGGTACACTCCCTGGTCGTATCAGGAGTGAACCGTAGATCACATCGTTCGGCATTCGTTGATGCACTTCGGTCGCAGAATATTGACCTGGTTTGCAGTCCTACTCCACAAGTTGCCGAGCAGCGTTCACTCCAATCGGCAGTTATCCAAACTCCCGTCTTCTTCGCTTCCACCTGTTGGTTGATTCTGCTAGCGTCCAAACTGGTACGTCCATATCCGTTAGTGATTTGCATATCATTTTGGGTATTGTGTCCGTTATGGTGATTATTATGGTGATGATGATGATGATTTACCACGGTAGGCTTTCGCTGATGAGCTTCCATTTGCGGTGGCTTCGAATGTTTCGTGCAGTCACATTTCTCGTTAGCTGGTGGTTGCTCTTCCATACAAGCTCCACTGTTGACCTGAATCACAATACCGGAAATCAGCTCCTGGACGCATTTGACTTCTCTGGTTTTGTAAGCCTCGTTGTCCGTGGTCATGTGCTCGCAATCACATTCACTCCATTCGGATAGTTTCCAGTACGCCGGACATGGTTGCGTATTGCACCGTAGTAGATGTTCGTTCAAAACCGGTTGGGCTAGATGAGCGCAACGCTTCGGTGAAAATACTCGAGTAGGTGCCTCACGGACGCACTTGATGATCGGTTGCTGAATCCCTCCTCCGCAGGACTTGCTACAAGCACTGAAACCAACCACCTTCCAAAGGAACTTCCGCTTGCGGAGCGGCTTCGATGTACTCGATGGCAGAGTATTATTCAAGATTGTTCGTTGCTTCGGTACACGGAAGCTGGCCTTTTCCGTTATGTCGTTGGATAAGGCTACTTTAGGGAGAAATTTTTAATCAGTCAAATGGATCGATTCGTGCAATCGTACAATTTACATACCATCAACTCGGTTGTCCTCGCTAGATTCCTGCTCCAAGTTCGGGTTTGTATTGATCGGCATGAGATATTCGTACTTGATACCGGGGTTCGGCTGCTGGGAGAGAACATACAGCTCGACGGCTTCGTTGGTCGGACCTGGAGCAGTAACCCACTCGGTGACACCTTCGATCTTGCGAAAACTGCTGACGGTGCCATTGTTGAGGCCATCCACCCGGCGGTACTCGAAGGTAGTTCCTGCACCCAGGTAGAAACCACTCAACGATATGGTGAAGTCACCGTTGATGATGAACCGCTGGTGGTCGGCAGTTTTGAGCACTGTAGGGAGATAATAGAGTAGGCTTATTGGTAATTTATAAATGGAATAATATAAGCACTGATTTTGACTCTCTGAAAGAGAAATTGATAGATTTTATGTGTCAAATACGGTATGTATTAGACACATAAAACCTGTCAACCTATATTTGTAACTTACATGTACAAAATATCATTATAACATTTATTGATTTCCGAAAAACATGTTTTATATTGTAGGGAGCCGAAGCAACCTTGGTTATCGTCGCCGTACCAATGGGCGGCGCCTGGCCTTAACCCTTTCGTAGCGGGATAAAAAGTACATTTTGAAACAAACATTATTTTGAATGTAAATTCAATTAACAACTATGACAGCAAGGGAATAGCTTCCATCCATCTACTTGTTTACCGTTTTAAATCGGAGGATTCAAACCACGTGAAATACGAAGAAGTTGTTTTGCAAACATCACTTAAACACTTGTGTGGGGTCGGCACGAAAGGGTTAAGATGTGTTCCCATTATTACCTATGGAATTCCCGTATGACCATTATGACTTTGGAACTCCAATAGCCATGACTGGTGTGTGTGTGTATTCCCTCTAACCCCCACTGGCCGGCAGTGTTATTATGGAAGAACTCTCTCTACAATGTCGCATTTATGGTCATTGTAGATAGCTTTAGTCCTGGAGTTAGAAGGTGATAGCTCTATTGCAGATCCAGTGACCCATTTCAGAATGTCTAGAGAGTCACGACCATTCCGAGGTTACTTTCACTCACAATAAGTCATGCATGTATGCATCACCGTTATCAAATGGATATTGGTTATACATACACACTTCCAGGTTCGAAAATATTCTTTTCAACTCTGGCATGTATTTAGTTTAATTTTGATATTTAATTTGTAAACAATAATTTGGACAGCTCTCACCATATTCTGCTCTTCTACCGTCGTTAATTGCTTCCTTTGGAATCCCTTGGACTTTTTCTCTAACGCTCCGTATTTCATTCCGTACTTCACAGGCAATTTCCTTCCGTAGATCGTCCTTGGTTGGTTCTAACATGATTCCGCCTTTTCAGGGTTTTTCTTGTTTTCCGACTGAGATAAATCCACATTAATTTCCGTTCCTGGATCGATGTTGACTCCTTCCTCGCTGGTTGGTGTAGTCGGTTTCATGTCCACCATCTGTCACTGAATTGCCATAATGATCTTGTACGAGGCTCACGTCCAAAGTCGCTGGTCCACCGAGCGCTCCGTGTGCGAAAAGAGAATGAAAGAAATACGAAAGTGATCAGTTTCAAGACGTCACAGTTGCATCAGATTCCCCAACTAACCATGCTCATGCTCAAGCAAAGTAAGACTATATAAGCTATATTGCGACTATATGGTTACTTGGGTATTCATATGGCCTTCAGAATGGTTCATCGGTGAAGTGAAGTATTTCTGAAAAAATGCGTTAAATTTCTCAATATTTTGATTTTATCCTAACGTTACCTCAATGTTATATCACAGACAAACAGATACCCTACCGTCATCTGTCGTATACACTGTGATGGGCAATACACTCAACAGATGGCTGTAGTGTGTAAACGTCAAACGCAAGGGAATTGATTGTGTGCGCTACAAGTGCCGGTACTACCAACTAAGAAACATTTAAATTGACCGTTAAAAACTATTTCGATGAACATTTTAAGAGTGTTATGTATGCTTGTATTTGATCATGCCTTCACTTTTGCAACTTCAGGTAATCCGCGAAAGTACTTGCATGTTTCTCATGCACTTTTGATCTAAATGCAATCACTCTCTCCGATAGCCATGACTGGCACATCTATACCAAATAGCAATATTTTCTAAAGAAAAACACATGCAACGCAATTTTCATAGTTTGTAATTCACGTTGACGAAGGAAAGGGGATATTTTAGGGATTAGGAACATGAACAAGTGATGCCAATTGTAATAAAATCAAAAACGTTCTTTTTAAGGGCGATCCCTAAACAATCTATTTTCAACTGTCACAGTTTCCATGTAAATTTTACGTACCTGTCATGTTCTAATTAGTTGTTTTTCTTGTTCAAATACACATTTTTGTACAGGACAATCATCCGATATTCTTTGTATCTTCGGAGATATTGTAAATTTTCATCCAAATTGGCATATTTTTATTTTTTTAAATAAATCATAGTCCGGTGGCAAATGGTGACTTCTGTTGGAAATTGCAACAAAAAGACTACAAAACACCGGCGGAGTTATCTACATCTGTCAATATCGTGAAAAGTTAGTTTTAAGGAGAGAACACAATCAAATTTATAAGAAATGAACTAGCCTACGGTTAAAAATCTCTATAATAAAGAATTTAAAAAAAAAAATCAAATTTCTTCTATCAGTCATTCGACTTGATACATGGGCGACATTTACACTACTTTTTTGTTTAATTATTATTGAAATTTTACATGCATGCATGCATTCATGTCATATTCATTTATTCATTGTGATAATTATTTTTCATTTCACTTATCTTGACATCCTATTGATAGGTCTTCTTCATCTCCCTATTTTGCTTAATCGGCTGCGTATTATCTTCATCTTCTTGTATCTTCTTCACTTTTTCTGCTATCTGATCTTTTGTTGCTTGTTGGTATTCTTCTACATTCACTCTTTAATCTATCTTCTTCTTTTTGCTCTACATACTTCTGTTTATTTTTCTGTATCACCTCATCATCTTCTTTCTTCATCCTTCCTTATTTCCATTGCCTTGTTTTCCTGTTCTACGTCTTCATGATTTATCCAATTTTCCTTCGGCGTCGTCTTCCTAATTTCGCTATTTCCCACTTTATCTATTTGATCATCTTCGTCTTCTTCCGCTTCGTTTTCCGTTCCACCTTTGGCTGATGCTTCGCTCAATCAAAATTATTCTCTTTATCTTCTTCTGCTTCTACTTCGGCAAAATTCACGTTGTTTCTCCTTATTCTACAGTCCACTATCCGCTTTGTCTTCTTCATTAGCTTCACCGTCTTAACATAACCGTATCAATTTTCTCCAGCTTAGTCCACTTTCTTTGATCTTCATCTGGTTTTTTTCCACCTGTTCACATTCTTCTTTCCTTTCTTACTCCGTTATCTGCTTCTCGTTGCTCCTTTTTTCTATGCATCCTTTAAATTTTTCGGTACAGTCCAGTTTGACGTAGAGAATTCAGCAAATTGGTGGTTTGCTCCCAAGGTTGCTTCCACTCACTTGCTATAAAAAATGTTTTTTGGAATTATGAAATCATTAGATATTATAATGATAATTAGTACTTGTAAGTTCCAAGAAAATGTTGTTAACTATGTGTTTGACACATAAAACCTGTCATTATTGCTTTCAGTGCGTCACAATCAGCGATTTTACGATTTATGAGCGCTCACTCTGAGTGAACGTTCACGAGTCATAAATTCGCTGATTGTGATGCACTGAAAGCGGAATTGACAGGTTTTATGTGTCAAATACATTCTTCTCAACCTCTTTTTGTATCTCACAAGGACAAAATATCATTATAGCATCCAATGATTCCATAATTCCGGAAAACTTTTTTTATAGCGAAGTGAGTGGAAGTAACCCAGTTTGCTCCTAAGATTTTCCTAGAGCATCTCGTAAGCTTGCTGTACAAATTTCGTTATCTTGTCGTTGACTCTCGTAGTTTTTGCACAGCAGAAACACGTGTCGCACATTAAAAAACCGATCCAAAACAACTGGGCGGGCTTCTTTCTTCTATAAGAACATATGGGTTAGCCGTTTTAGCACACACGGTCGAAAGTGCTTCCCCGTTCCATCCACTTGTGCGTGTCGTCTTTGACCTCTCTTGGAGTCTGTGGACGCGAACCATTGGTCGCTCCATCGTTGCCGTATTCTTTGCATCACCTTTCTCAACGCATGGGATTGGTACACCAATGGAAGGTTGTGTTCTCGCTATGTTTGCTAACCGATAAGCTTCGTTGTTTCCGTGGAAGTATCCAGCAGAAACGAACGGATTTGTTTGCTCCACTTCCTGAATCCACGGGTGCTTAGATGTTCCCGCTTCTATGGCTTGAAGATAGCTTGCAGAGACTGTAAGAATTACTAATTAGTTCGTTATGTTCGGGGTAGTAACAGCCATCTTCATGGCGTACACCGGTTGGATCCATCGGTGTAGACGACGGCTGATCGGTGGAAGCGGGTCGACAGTAGTTGTTCCACTACCGGGCGGACTTTCTATAGTGGATCGCCGGCTCGTATACATATTTTGACGTCCACATGATTGATGGTTTTCGTATGTGCTACGGACGATCGGTCTGCCGCACAAGTTGATCGACAGCGGGAGCGCTTAGTTTGTCAGCTCATTGAGGTGATCCTATCCCAAGTAACATTCCCAAAGCTAATTTGATTTATTCAGGTTTTATAGTTGATTTCGATAAGAATTGAAAATATAACATGCATTTAAGGCGGTTTTGATTGAGTAATATTGGTTTTATGTAAGTTGCGGTTTTATATCCTAGAGAATCCCTTGGAGAACACAACTAAAACATCGTTTTACTTGAGAATATTTATGCATATAACAACTCTTATGATGCACTTGAGGATGTTATCTGACGATATGATTTATAATGGCAATAAATCTACTTCATAAGTGCTGTATAAAACTCATTGAAGAATACATTGATTTACGCAAGTTATAAAAAAAGTATTGAACTCCTCCGGAAACAAAAACGGATGTGAGCATATACCCAACATTGCATCAGAAAGTTGCAGCCATCATAACGAGAATCCTAATGAAAGAATTCGTAGATCATCACCAGCACGGGAAGCTACAGAATCTTCAAGCTTACTCGATAATCATTCCGACGAGCGGCAAATGTTTGAGGATGAACCGCTGGAATCAGTGAAAGAGTTCCATGATGAACCGATGGAATCTGAAGAGGAGCTCGAGGACGAAGGCGATAAAAATGAAGTTTTTTCGACAGCGATTAAAAACTGGCCAATTCTTCATAACATCAAACAAAGTGCTCTAAAAGAT